TGCATTGAATCAAAGCCTCCATAATGTTTTCTCTGCAAGTCATTTAAGACTCTTTTACTGGAGCCACATTCTCACATTTTTTATTTTATCCAAAGTTCTCATTAGTGGAAAACCAATAAAACATGAAATGGCACAAATTAAATTTGAAGAAGGAAAATATTTTCACAAGTATGAGTAATGTTACATATGGACTGATGCAATTATTTTCACTGTGCAAAATCACATTCCACATTTGATTTCATTGCTTCTTCCAATAATGTCATCACGCAGTGTTACGCCTGGGAGCAAAGACATATGAATGCATGTACAGTCCCTGAGCCTCACACTTCGGTTCTTGACTGCAGGCTGTATTTGACTGGATGCATTGCAGATATTGGTTCACATATGCCACCGCTCCTCTTATCTGCTACTGGAAAAAAAAAAAAAAAAAACAACCCAGGCCTGAACATCTCTCTCTCCATCTCTCTCTCTCTCTCTCTCAGCACAGAGCATCTAACGTCTTCCCTCTAAGCCACAGATCAATGCATCTGCACTGATATGAACTGGAGCCGCGTATTGATCCACTCTGCCTCGTCCTTGTCGCTGCTCATTATGGCAATGAGAGAGTGACCTTTTACAGAGGTGTCAAAGTGGAAAGGAGAGTTTTAACAGATTTAAGTGGCAACAAAAAAAAAACTGCAGGCACTGAAACAATGCCGAGCGACACTGGTTTAAAGATCTCTATGAAACTCTGCTGTCGTACCAGCTACGATCCCAGTTAATACACCATTATTACAAAGCAGGTTTAACCTCTATTATGCTTCATTTATTTTGCCATAAGGCTTCAACATCACATTACAGCAGCTGAATAGTAATACTGGGACGGTAGTAAAAGCAGAAGTAAAGGACTTGTGTACAGGAGTAGCTGTAATTGTTGTCAAAGCTATTTCGTAATAGTTGCAATTACAAGTAGTAAATGGAGTATATTTACTTCAATACTGAACTACTATGTACTGCGCTGCAAAGACCTGACGCTGTTGTTCTCAAATACAAACATCATCTCCATTGAGGGTGAAAGATTTTCTGAAAATTTTTTTTTCCAATAACAATACTTATTCTAATTCATTTTCATCAGTTAAAAAGAAGAAGAAGAAGAAGAAAAACAGCTTTTTGTCTTTAAACTGACAAGAACCATTTTGTCAATCATGAGCAATTTAGAATCCGCCAAAAAAGTTTGGACAGAGACGAAGTGAGACTGAAAAGGTTAAATAAGACACATTCTTAATCAGCTGCTACACCGCTAATGGGTTTGGATGCAGAGAAGATGAATCACTCTTGGCTTGTCTCTTCATCCACAGCTGGAGTGATCCTGGTGATTTTGTGCCATCATTACGTTAGGTGCCCATTCTGAAACAGCCCTGCCCACCAGAGGTGGGGGTGAGAATGACACATCTGTATTTGGACCGAGTTTAAAAGGTGCACTCCCCAAACCTCCCCAAGAAAAACAAGTCTTTTCAGGAAGTTAGCCTGCACTTGATGTTTTACTGATGAATGCCACAAAATAATTATTAGACTTTGAAGTAATGGAAAAGAATTCAAAATATTCATTTGTCTACTCTGATGATAACGACTACTTCTTTTGGACAAGTATTCATGAATATGCAATGCCAAAGAAGCCAGTGTTGTGTCATGTGGTGCAGCTCTGTGGGTGACAGGGTGATGTTGATGCAGATATTGTTGACCTATTTAAATAAACTCCCTCTAATGACGATGAGATGCTGAACTGCAGTAGGAAAACAAAACGCTGGCTAACCACTGCACAGCTGCTGAGTACAAAGTCGCTGATTTGGCAAGTTTTTGATTATAAGTATGTGAGTCAGGCTGTGCATTGACTCTTAAGCCCAATCACTCACTACGAGTTAAGGTCTGTCACATTTACAAAATATATTGCTGTAAGGCTCGTGCTGGAAACTGCTGCTCAATTTGTACGACCTTTGACTCTGGAAATCAGTGGGAAACCCTGAGCTTTTGAACAACTTACAGTACAGCTGTGAACAGTAGTTGTTTTGTTGGTCTTGGTCTTTTTTCACAGCACTCTGGGTCAATAAAGTCACACCGACACACCCTGACTTTAGTTTTCCTCTATCTGTCAAATCCATATTTCAGTGTTCTCCTCGTTTTATTACCACACAGTGGAAATCACCACATGACGACTCTCTGTATTAATATTAAGACGACAACACGGCACAGACGCTCTTGAGCCCTCCTCACTGCAGATGCTGGTATCAGTGCCTCGGTGTCCTCTGTTGTGCTGCACGCACCGAGTGATCAGTCAATCTGCCTGCAGATTTTGAAATTGAATGGATCCCATTAGAAGGCATGGAAAGGCTGCCTTTCATGTCTGTTTGTAGTTCATTCACAGCAAGACAACTGCTTGATCTAGCAGCTCCTTAACCATACAGAGCCTGAATAAGTGTTTCATTCATTCACTCCGGAGACAGATAAAAGTGCATATTCTGGGGGAGGAAGACTCACTCTTCCCCTGTGCATTGATGTTGGTTGCTGAAATATTTATATGTATGCAAAGAGGACGTCGAGATTCATGAGGTTTTTTTTTCTCCTCCTAGAATATACTTGCACCTTTATGCACTATGCAGTAGATGTGGGATCTTGTTCAGTCAGAAGGATGTTAAATTGACGTCTGCCTGATGAAAATTCTCCAGAAAGTCTTTTTTTTTTTTTTTAATAGCAGATTTAGTATTTTTGGTGTTTGTGTCTCTTCGTGTGAAGATGTGTGAGATTTTTATTGGATTTGTGGTTTGTTTGAGTCCAGGCTGAAATTTTGTTTCAGCTTTTTGACACTCAAAGAGAGAACATCAAAGAGTCCCTGGAAGTGTTTTGCCCTGTGGTTCACCCTCTTTCACTTACTGCATCTCAATGCCAGGAAACTGCTGTTGCAGTAAAGAGTGAATAAAGAAAAATAAAAAAAGAACAAAAAAAACCACAAAACAGGAACTGTGACGATAGTTTTAAATGGGCCGAGACTTGAACACCACCTTGTACTCAACATGAAAATTCTCATTAAGGTTTTATCAAGAAATAAGCGGCTAAATGTTAGAACCACTGCGATTAAAGGTGCACTGAGAACACTGGAGTAAAAGAAAAAGTCCGTGACACGGTGGTACAGTGGGAGCTGCTGCTGCTTCACACCCACCACTGTTCTCTTCTCTCTTGATAATGGTGGATTGAAGCATCCACCATCCTATGTATGTATATATATATGTATATATATATATTTATCTATATTTATGTATATTTATGTATATATACATATATAATATATATATGAAAAGAAATATGCACTTTTACTAGCACGCTATTGGCTTTCACAACTTATAGATGATTTAGTTTTCCTGCTACTGCACATATTTGTACTGTAACTGATATCTGTTACCATCACAGGACAATGTGTGTTAATAGGTGAACAGAAGTGTCAGTTTGTGTGTTTGTGTGTGAGCAGTTTGGTGGGTGCGTGTGTTTGAAAATCGCAGTGCTGGGTGCAAGTGGCAAAACCACAATAAACCCTGATTGTTTGAAGCTGATAGCTATTAGCCGACAGAGAGCGGGAGCCATTATGGTGGAAATGAAGCATTGTTAAAGAAACATAAGACTTCCCTCGGCGGATGATAGCCTCCTGAAGAGGGCTCAGATTAGATCTCACAGGTGCACTCGGGAGGCGAGGGCTGATCATTACACCGGGAGAATTATAGCAGCTCGTCAAATCTCCTCAGGAATGAATATTAAGTCTTTTTATGAAGAGGATTGGGTGGGAAGAAACCACTCGTGTGAGCAATTTATGAGAACATTTCGGACTAAACCCTTTGGTTTCGTAGCAGAGTTCTCAGTCTCCAAGTTGACACGGTGGCGCAGCAGCGCTAATGTACTGCTCCCCATAAAGAAGCATTTACAAGGAAATATGTGTATAAAATTTGGCTTCGACTGACGGAATGAGTTTGTTTCATGGAGTGAATGAATCTCCTGTCACGGCCCAGAAACAGGGTGGGGGATGTCTTAGCTTTATGTTCAGTGTGACTGAAATCTATGACCGACATGCTGTAGCCTTTTTGTGTGCTTTTCACCGTTATTGCAGCATTGTGCATTACAGTTGCAAGGCCAACGTCGATAAATAGATACTTAGTTGATATTTTTCAAAAAGTGAAGGTCCACAACCGTTTTAAACTGTAGCAGATAAATGGTAATTCTATCTATCTATCTATCTATCTATCTATCTATCTATCTATCTATCTAGCTATCTATAGATCCATCCATCCATCCATTCATCCATCCATCCATCTGTCTTGTGCCGCTGAATCTTATCCATCCATCCATCCATCTGTCTTGTGCCACTGAATCCTATTCAATAGCACCTGAATATGTACCTATTAATACTTCTCAAAGGGTGAAACTCTATAGCACCTGAATATGTACCTATTAATAATTCTCAAAGGGTGAAACTCTGTACATGGAGTTCTTTCTCTTTGCCTGTAAATGAGTCTTGGGATAATTTCTAAATAGTAACGTTCTGTAACGATCTGCTTGGGATAATTTCTAAATAGTAACGTTCAAATCTGTTGAAGACATTTATTGTGCAATAGGTGAAAAAAATAATGTAGAATACAGCAGATATTTTTAACATCTACCCTCCTGACTAACTTGGTTGATCTGGCTTGTATAAAATTATGTATTACTTTTACTTGACCTTTTTTACACACATCCTAAAATATCTGTTTTTTGACAGAAATCCAACCTACTGATCGCTTGGTCTAGTGCTGTTCACATTCATTTGAAGTTGCAAATGGGTTTCTCAAAGTGTTAGATGGTTTTCCGAGGGGTGGTGGGGGGTGTGGGGAAGAGAACTGGATTACGAGAAAATCCAGAAATCTCTGTGCCTCCTGATACAAGAGAATTATCTGATTTATGTTGTGAATCAGAACTGACCAAATATCCTTTCATTTCTGCAGCCTCTGTCTCCGAGGATGTTCAGTCCATCACGATGGGAGGCTCTTCAAAGGACAAGGCCAGCTTGTACTCCACCACCCAGGACACAGAGAGAAGAGCACCAGCTGTCACCACCGCACCCCCTCTTCCAATCATAAACCACCACCCTCTGTACAGAAACCCACCCTACTACACACCATCACTGGGGCTTAATGGCCAACCAAGCTATGAAGACAGTGGTGGATCCACTCACCCCACTTCAGCCACTCTGCTTTCAGGGACTTCACTGGATAATGCTCATAGAATGCCTCCAGATCAGATGGATGAAGATTCGAGCATCACACCAAACCCTGACACACATTCATTATCGTCTCATTTCAACACCGCTGTTCCCGCCTCGAAAATGCTTCCGAGGGATCCTGATGGTGGTGCTATTGGCCGCTTTATTACAAAAGAGAAGGATACAGAAATGCCAGACTCAGCTGGGCTGAAGCTCAATGTGAGGCCAGGCAGTGAGACGACGACCGCCGCCATCATCACTACCATGCAGAGTCCAGGTAAGGTGCTTGATTGATGTTACTGTAACTATGACATCACAGACGGCGTGAAACGTTACAAAAATACTTGATCTGACAGGTAGAGCGACACCTGGTCATGTAGGAGAACATACAGCAGACACAAACACAAACACTCATGTTGGTCAATTTGAAGTCTTTAGGAATCTACATCCAGGCATCAATATATTACTTTTGGTTTCATTAGTGCCAATAATGTAAAATGTTTTGTTCTGTGAAAGAAAACATACTGTATATATATATATATATTATTCTTGTAATGACAGGGATGTCCCATACAACCTGTTAGTGTTGGATAACAAAGTCTACTCATCTTCATCTGCTCCTCAAAAATGTACTTTAAAATATACAACATACCCTAAAAGGTTATGCGACAGAGCTCTCTCTGTTTAAATGTCCACTAATAACAAATCTTCACCTGCTCCTCAAAAAATTACTTTAAAATAATATGTCGTTCGGTATATATAGTCAAGCAGTGATGAAAAATAAATCAAAATATTTAATGCAACTTGGCTCACAACACACATTAGATTGTACAGGTGTATTCATATATTCACGTCACTCATATATTTACATTGTGTGATTTGATTGACAGGTGATTGTGGAACACCTTGGAAAATCTCGCTGTACTCGACCATAATGTAACCGCAGCAGTGTAAACAAACACAGGCGTCTGATCCATGCTGTAGTTGAGCAGTAAGGCTGACTACGCACACAGAAAATCTTACTAAAATTGTCATCATTTTTTATGTTGTTTCTTATTTCACTGTCTTAAAGCGTGCCTTTTGAAAACCTTCGATTTTAATCTCATGATTGTTTTCTGTATAAGCGTTGTTTATATCAATTCTTCGGAGTTCTTTGAAGCTATAAATCAAAGAGTTGATGAACACTCAGCGTACTGGTCTTCTCCTGAGACCTAATCAAATGATGTTTTTCTGTTTTGAGTGCACCTTTGCCGTCTTCGCACCCTTGACTAATAACTTATCTATTTGCATCTCTCACCGCTGCACAGCCAAGGGGATGAAATAAATTACAAGTGCGAGGCTGCATCAGTATACCTTAATCAAGAGGACCAAACAGAGACCACAGCATAACCGTGGGATGAAGAGAGTGGGTGGGGAAACACTTGGCCAGTGATTTCTTGCTGCATGGATTAGGCTAGCAGAGTGAGATGAGAGTAGTTTAATTAATCAGCTCATCTGTGTGCAGGGTGACTGCATGTCAAAGTACTGCTGCTAAATCCAAATGAAGCCTCGGCCAAGATCTCATCCCTCCTATTTCTCCTTGATTCTCTATCAGTTAATGGCGACTATAAAATCCTACTTCCCTCTTGCACTTTCCCACACTGCCGGATTCATCCATCCTTGTACAATCCCAACCAGTGTTTAATCCCAGGGAATGGGACTCAGGAGACTCTACAGCGTTTCCCATCAAGCAGGAAATGTGCAAATTAAAAAAAGAGTCACTGCAGCATTCCAGGATTTCTGCTTTTTTTTTTTTTACAATGCATTTTTCCCCACACATTGATTCAACTAGTTGCTTCACAGTTACTGTATTAACAATCCTTGACATATGAATTTTTTTCAATTGGTCAAACTGGCAACGTATTGATCCTTAATGGTGTCATTTTTTTAGGTCTTAAATCAGAAAGGAAAATCAGAAAGGCCTGGACTGTATGTAAATTTTGTGAAATCTTTAAAAATATAAAATACATTAACAAAAATAATGCATAATTTCCATCCATGCGTTCATCTTCCATTTAGCAAACCTGTAAAACTACTAAACCATATAATATAATATAATATAATTTTTATTTGTTTATTATCATAAACATTGCCCATACTTGTTGCTTTGCCACTTGGTCCTGTTTAGGACTGATATGTAATCCTTGGATCAAGACCTTGGTATTTAGACCCAGGTCCTGCAACCCCACCAGAACCCAGTCACTGTGTCTGAAAGCAGAGCACTCAGCCATCTCATGGCTTCTAACTTCATTTTTCGCTGGATACCTCCAAATACGCTGTGGAGCTCACTGGTCCGTCCCACAGGCTGCCGACTTCACTCCAAGACATTGGCTTAGAATTTATCAAGCAACCCCTGGAGTGAACTACCTCACAGAGCCCAGGAGGTGTCTCACATCAGATCCAGTTATAGTTATTGGAGGTGTCTCACATCAGATCCAGTTATCTCCAGTATAAGATCTATATCCTCTGAGGTTGTACCTTATACATTTTCTCAAACTATATATTTTTTTTCTCTAAATAAATGAATAAATCATAACCACATGATACCATGACTCCAGATCTGCCAGGTTTCTGCTGGGGTTTATTTGCTCACTCCCTTTGAGGTGGTTTCAAACGTTCTGGTCATCAGTCTGTGATGTTCTCGGAAATAAGCATTTTTAAACAACATGAAAGAATCTGAAATTGATTATGGGATAATATGGATTGAAAGTATGTGTAATGACTTAAAACCTGCAAAATACAGTATACGGAAGAAAAACAATGCAGAGGTAAACAGGTCTGCTGTACCTGCTGGAGCATGAAATGACGGCTAACTGGAAATTTGTGATGAGGATGTTTTTAAAGCAGCTATCCCATCTCTGGTTTTACGCCATTTGTTCTCGGATTTTTTTTTTTTTTTCATAAGACGAAATATGTTCAAAGTATTCCACAGAGAGAATGTGGGAAATTCAATTTCTGTGCCACATTTGACTTGTCTAACACTCACAGTGTGTACAGACTGTACAGAGTCCACTTGAACTGAAAGTCAACCAAAGATGTTTGACAAACAACAAGGTCAACGTCAGTATCTACAGGAGGGTTTTGGTTTTTATCTCTTTTGAAGAACCTGCCTTTGTCTCTGCAGTTCCCTGCCAGTTCAACCTGACTGGTCCAGAAGGATACATAGAGGCCCCCCCACAGTCCAGCGCCGCCTTCTTCTCCACTGTAGACTGCAGCTACACCATCACGGCTTACATGGGCTACGGAGTGGAAGTTCAGGTAGGATATTAACCAGTGACTGCTTGAAAATAAGAAGGTGATTTACGTTGATATGTCTTGTTGTAACGTAATGTGACTAACAGTCAATGTTGGCATTGGTTTATGCCCCCCCACCCCTCCCCCCCGACAAGTTTACTGACAAAAGTGATTTATTGAGGTTTATGGTACAATATACAGTACAGTCGAAGAAGGCATCAACTTTTTGGGGTTTTCACTTTGTTGTACTTGACTCACATTTAACTCATTTTTTAATACGCCAGTACAGTCGAAGAAGGCATCAACTTTTTGATGAAACCTTTTGAAAACCATTTTTAAGGAATTACTAGCATAGTATTTTACTGTGATCAAAAGTTGTCCTACCAAAAAAGTTTATTTTTTCTGAATTTTAATTACAAAAATGGACACAGCTGAGTAACAGCAAATGAGTGGATTTCTATTCATTTTTGAAAAACCTTTTTTAAATCTAATATCCTATTAGACTAAATTAGGATTTTACTGTGATCAAAAGTTGGTGAACCAGAGTCTGGCAAGCCTATGTTTACGGCAACTATGGACACACACACACACACACACCCTTGACCCTGCCACTGTGGTACTGCTGTGTGACCATAGCAACTGCTGAAAACCCAGACAGAAATGTTTTTGAGTAAGTGGATGTGTCTGAATGACACATCTTCACAGCAAAAGAAATTGGAGAAATGTGGACGATATTTCCTAAGTCCAGATAAATTCCAACAATCCTGTTTGTCAACTATTTATCCCCTGAAAGGCGGCGTAACGACAGAGAAGTGGAAGTCCACAGTTAACAACGATTAATCTCTTAAAACAATATTTGTCTTTTTTTTATCTAAATCACTCTCTTACTGTGAGCAATGTCAGAAATTGATTTGTGTAAATGATTCATTTACAACAGTGCCAATTTGAGAATTGTAATTGAGTTTAAAACAATAGTTAAAATGAATGTAGTCTGTAGTTAGTAGGGATAATTTATAATTATCTCAATAAATTTCAGTGAGGTTTTCCCACATTTCCCAGTCCTCAAGATGTTTTTGTTCAAAATGCTGTATAACTATTTAAAAAAATGTTAATAATTCATAATTCATATCCGAGCCCCCACCAAATGTGATGGTGTAATAGATGTAGTAACTATAAATAAATAATTTGCTATTTTAAAATTAAATTCATGGGAGAAGTAACTTTACATTCTTCAACAACACAGCCTGCAAAACTAATAAAAATATATATTTTTATATTAAGATATTTAAGTGGCAAATTTTTACAAACTAAATCACTCTGTGCCTTAATTCTATTGATTTAGACTAGATGGTGGACATACAATGATAGATCAATATTTAGACAGCCTGAATATTTATATATGTTTATACTTTAAACCACCAGTTGACCATCGATCCAAACTGAGAAAGTCGGCAAAAAGTAGTTGGGCTCTGACGTACTTGTACACAGCTTCAAACGTCCTCTACAGGGATGGTCTGACCTGGTTTCCTCATCAACGCTCCACCAATTCCTTAGATGGAGATGGAGCCACTTTGATTTAAAGGCACATGACAGTTTTCTGTCCTGCTGGCATTTAGGAGATGGAGAAATATGTAGAAAACCTCAGCTGGCAAAATGTCAAACACTGTATGATCCACGCAGACTACTCTCCATCTCCAGATGTCACGCCAACACATGAAGGCCGGGTCAAAAAACGCTCCAGGTGGAGGCTCAAGGACAATCAGCAAAAGAAGAAGCAAATAATTCTTATATTTGTGTATTTCTCTATCATACCTTTTTCCTCTACACCACCTCCCCTGCTATGGTATTGACATTGGCACATTTCTACCAGCCTGGTGCCAGACTCCAGTCTAAAGTGCTCTGTGCACTCCTGCCTTTCAGCTCCAGGGCTGGATTTTCCAAATCTTTTGGCAGATTTGAACTCTCTGCTTTTTATCTTAATGCCTGTCATTTACCACTGCCTGTGTCATGAGTTTGGTTCCATTATATCTTTTTTCTTCTGCCTATTCCGGTTTGATAACTGCTCATTGTAACTACTAAGGTATCATGGCCGAGGTTCCTCTGGGACCATGTGGCCAGAGACTCATAGCTAGATTTACACTGAAGATCTGAACGTTCATAGATTAGGTTACATTTGACAACATCAATTATGTTGGACCAATGACAACAGACATAGAACTAGAGTACATTAAACAATAACTAATAACTAATAAATAATACCAGCTAAAAGACATCATAAAAATACAAACAAAGTAACAACAAACAAAGTAACTTCAAATGCAGTGAATCATGGATGATTTACAGCGATAAAAATGACAGCAGTAGATTTAAAAGGGACATTTTATCAGAGAGTAGTGAGACCTGCTATGATTTATGGCTTAGATACTGGAGTCTTTTATAAAGACTGGTGGCTGAGCTGGAGGTGGGAGAGAAAAATATATTGTTATTGGGTGAGACCTGACGATGGAGTCAGAGAGTCGAGGTTGAGATGGTTTGGATGTGTGTTGAGGAGAGATAGTGAAGATGTTCGATCAAGGACGATAGCGATGGAGCTTTCAGGTACAGACAGACTGAAGAGTAGAGAGGAAAGGGGTAGAGTGAGGTGGAGGCAGGAGTAGAAGAAAAAAAGAAACATGCAACCATACAGTGGGATAGGATATAACACAAGGAAAGAAAAGGAAAAATAAATAGGACCTAACGCTACAGCTGCTTTGAGAGTACATCGTGTGTGCACGGTCACCTCCACAAACGCTTTGGCCTGAAGACAAAAGCAGTGGCTACAGAAGATTACAGCCACTCCATCCACTTTTAGGCATTTACTGTCGCTCTGGAGCTTCTGACCTTTTGGTGAAGGCTTATGTGATGATTTAAGTAGCGCCCTTGTCTACACCTGAAAACCTGCTCATTCACATGATTAACTCCAAGAGCTTCACCTCCTGCTGCTGCTCATAAAATATACAGTGGCAATTACGCTGCCGAACCTCCAGAGGCCTGGCCCAATATATTTAGGATAAAAAATGAATATGTGGCTCCAAATCATTGTCAGTGATGTCTCTCAGCTGCTTCCTGTCAAATGTGGAGCGGAAAGTCAAAGCAAGGAAAAAAAGGAAGCGAAAGATTGTCGAGTGGTAAACACCAGGTGGAATCTAGACCACGGAGTTACTGACAAAGTTCAGTCAGTCATCGGTCGTCAACACACACAAAGGGTTGTTCGTCCAAAAGGTGTGAATATGGTGAAAATACTGCAAATGTTGTCAGCTACTTTCAATTCACTTTTAATATTTTTAGCAGCTGGTTGGATTACAATCAACGTATTAGACAAACAGGAGAGTGAGTCTGGGCCCCGTCTGTGTCTTAATAAAAATCATCTCAATTCTGGTTTGTGGACCAGATTCTGATTTGTAGACAGATGGCAGAGCTGATGGGTTTTAATACTGGTGCAGTGTGGTTTGTGACAACGTCTGCATTGATGGGAAGTAAATTAATGGAATGGAAATGGTTTCAGGTTAGCACACTGTTAGCCTTTAGATCCCGTGGATCTCATGGCCAGGGGATCCCATCTTTTTCTAGTTGAAAAGAAACCCACAGGAAATGTTAGGCCAGGGGATCCCATCTTTTTCTAGTTAGAAACCCACAGGAAATGTTGAATGATTGGACATGGTTATATGGAGATGAGCTGAGAGTCAGCAGGGAAATGTTAAGGACTGAGGCTGAAGTGTGAGCGGGAAGGGCTCCAAGAAAAAAAGAAAATCTGTTGAAAAGAAACACACTAAAAGAATAGGAAAACATTTAGAGACAATGATGTAGGAATAAAGAGCAGACAGAAAACAAGCAGGGAAGAAAAGATAAAGAAAGTAGAGAGGGAGATAAACGAGGAGGATGAAAAATACACGGCACTCACTCATCTGCTGTTTACTCTCATTATTAAAAGTGACTCCAGTGTGCGGATGCTGTGGCACTTAATTAATTGCTCATGGATTATCTGTCCATTTCTTTCTGTGTGTGTGTGTCTGTGCAGACGGCTTTAAGTATTCCTTAGATAAAATGTCTCTCAGCATCTATTACCCAAATTGAAAGCGCTTCCTCCCTGGATATATGCAGTTTAAATAACGTCAGCCATACATTAAAGAGTCCAGTGGACCTCAGAGGTGGTGCAGAGCGTTTATGAACTCTGCCATGGCGCCTAATTGGTGTTATTTGTACATAAAGAAAATCCATCTCTAAATGACTGCAGGTTTCATTAGCACCGCTGAAGCACTTAGACCTCATTTGACCGTTTTCTTTTTATTACAAGATGAGACAGGTTTGACGGAGAAGCTGAGGGTGACGGTGAGAGGTTGAAGAAGCAGTGCTATCTTCTAGAATCGAACAAGGCCGGAGCAGTGCAGCAGAACACTGGTTCTAAATGAAACCACTACATGTAGATAAAGAGTTAACATGCGCTCTCTAATAACATGTTCCTACAGCAGAAAATAAGATTAAATAGTAAAATTAAAGTTTATTGCTTGCTGTGCCCCTCTGCAATTGTTCTAAGTCCTTAGAAGTGCCCCACACCCCACTTTGAGAACCGCTAGATATAACTACATATTTACAAATCATAATCAGGCATCTGCTGCTTCAGAGGAAGAGCTGGTTGGTGGTAGATTATAATCAATGTGTGAGACTACTGACTCGTCTTATTTAAATTTTATTTCATAAAAAAATATTTTTCTCTCTTTATTAATTTGAGTACATGCGTGACCACTGACTTTATTTTGGTGCCCTCTTTTTTCTCTAACTTTCCTTTCATCTCCTAATTGGAGACTTCTATTGTGAAATGAATGCCTATGGGAAAATGCATTTTGAAACTGTAGGGAAGCTACGCAGAATGAGCTCACAAGCTGAGCAAAGATTGAACTCATATTTAGAAATAATAATTGAGCCAATTATAGTTGCTGTTTGGTCTGAGACGAGAAAAAAACACAACTCCAGACTTTTCACCCTTT